ATTTTTTTAAACTTCCTTACTGTGGTACTAAAACCCAGGGTCTTGCACATACTAGGCAAGCATAAAACACTTAGGAAACAAATGTTTTCACATTCCCTTACATTGACATTAACCACAGAAATCCTCTTTAACTCCTGTGTGTAAAACTTACTACTTTCTCTAGGCAGTTACTGGAGTTTGAACTTAAGGGCTCACACTTGCTAGGCTGGCACCATACCACTGAGCCATCCTCTCTCCTCAACCCCCACCTCCCAGCCCCTTAACTCCCTCCCCACCATACTAATGACATGGTAGCAAGTATTTTAATTGGGGCCATTTCAATTTTTATCTGACTTCCAGTTTAAGTCACGTTAATATCCACAATGAGATTTCAAGAAATATAGGTAGAAACCATGGAAACCAAATAGGAAAATCAGTGGGTTGACAAAAAAATAAAACTAAAGTATAAGAAAACAGTTATAGGAAGAGTACAAAAATTCAGAATGAAAAAAAATATAGGCATGACAAGAGAATATAACCCAGTAATAGATATTAATTATTCCCAGAATAGTTCAAGTAAACATGACACTTAGAGCGTATATATTTATATATATATATATATTAATGGGTGATTCATAGATTTATTTATTTTTCTGTCAATGAAATATAAATATCAAGTTCAAGGAAAATGTCCTAGATTTTGATTGGTAACTAACAGTGGCTACTAGCTATTCATCAGCATTTAGCAAATTTCTAGGGGGAAAAGAAACAGAGACAAGAAAGAGCAGCACCAAAGGACTACAGACTTGTTTGGGGAAGAGAAAAGAGGAAAGAATAAACTCCATGCCTATGTGGCTGTAATTCACACTTCTTTCACCAACACTCAGATATTCTGCTATCTTTTCTACTTTCTCTCCAACTCTCTTGATTTTCCACTTTCCAATGAGAGTCTTATTTTATTTTTAATCTACCTAACACCAGCTGTTGCCAAAGCCTTCCTAGTAGAAAGCTTAGTCCAAACAGTCTGATCATTAAAGCAAACATCAAGCACATGGAGCCAACACAGAGTTTAGGGAAAGGCACTGGTCTGAATGCTTGGGTGGGAATTCAGCTTTGCCTGCTCCTAGCTAGATAGCTTGGCATGCCACTTGGGCTCTCTAAATCTTACATATCTCATCTTTAAAATGTAACTAAGAAGACCTGTTTGCTACTCCTGTAGAGGACAATTAACAGGATTAAACCAGACAGTTCGAACTGTATGCAAACCTAAGCATTTTTATGGTGACCTTCATGCTGTCATGTTATTGGTTAATGGAAAATCTGACAATGGAAAAATTATCTTACAAAAATAGTGTTTTAAAATAGGCTTGTTCCATCTCCAGCCTCAATAAATGAGTACTTTCAGGGATTTTCTTTTTTTTTTTTTGGGGGGGGGGGTCCGGTCTTGGGGCCTGAACTCTGGGCCTGGGTGCTGTCCCTCAGCTCTTCAGCTCAAGGCTAGCACTCTACCACTTGAGCCACCGTGCCACTTCCGGCTTTTTTTTTTCTTTTTGCTTATGTGGTGCTGAGAAATCGAACCCAGGGCCTCATGCATGCAAGGCAAGCACTCTACCACTGAGCCACCTTCCCAACCCCTTTCAGGGATTTTCTAAAGATACAAAATCATTTTATGGTAGTAGCTGGTTGCATCTGAGTAAACATAATGTGTTTTCTGCTCTTTCTCTTTCCCTTTCCCTTTCCTTTTCTCCTCCCATTTTCCTTCCTTCCCTCTTTCCTCCCTTCCCTCCTTCCTCTCTCCCTCCCTCTCTCCCTTCCTTCCTTCCTTCCTTCCTTCTTCTCCTCTCCTTCCTTCCTTCTTTCTTTCTTTTCTTTCTCTTTCCCTCCCTCCCTCCCTTCTTTCCTTCCTTCCCTTTTTCCTTCCTTCCTTCCTTCCTTCCTTCCTTCCTTCCTTCCTTCCTTCCTTCCTCTCCTTCTCTTTCCTTCCTCTCCTTCTCTCCTTCCTTCCTTCCTTCTTTCTTTCTTTCTTTCTTTCTTTCTTTCTTTCTTTCTTTCTTTCTTTCTTTCTTTCTTTCTTTCTTTCTCTTTCCCTCCCTCCTCCTCCTTCCTTCCTTCCTTCCTTCCTTATTTTTGCAATGCTGGGGATCAAACTCAGAGCCTAATGTACACAAGACAAGTGCTCTATCAATCAAATCACTGAGCTACACCCCCCCCATGTTTCATTTCATAAGCTTAAAAAAACTCAGAAAATTGAATATAAACTTACAGATAGTCTTTCATGAGCTAAAGTTAATGAATCCAATTATGTTTTGAAAAATGTGTGCCAGTCCAGCTTTGCTCATCCTTTGGCCACTAAACTTTGTATACAGAAGAACTGATAAATAAAACTCAAAGGAAAATCTCAAGTTTAGTGCAGAGTGACACCTTTTGAAATAAAAAAGGTGCATAAGCTTATGCTATACTTTGTGCACAGAAAGTATAATATTGGAATATTATTTAAAATATCAAGAGGGTAGAAAACAAGGGAAAATAGGCTGGGAAGGTAGCTCAGCGGTAGAGTTGCATGCCTTGCAAGCATGAGGCCCTGGGTTCGATTCCTCAGCACCACATAAACAGAAAAAGCCGGAAGTGGCGCTGTGGCTCCAGTGGTAGAGTGCTAGCCTTGAGCTGAAGAGCTGAGGGACAGCGCCCAGACCCAGAGTTGAGGCCCCATGACCGGCAAAAAAAAAAAGGAAAACAAGGGAAAATAAAGCCTGACTAGAAAATGTTTTAAGATAATGTAAAAAATAAAATAGTCCATGAGACCAAGATCAAATATCTAAACAGAGAATGAGAAAATACATATTTCATTGAAATGATATGTCAACACCCCTGCTGATTGATGAATCCAACAGAAAACATAAACATACTATTATTTAATTTTCTTTAAAATGTGTTCACATTTTGTTACTGAGAATACTTTTCCCCATCAAAGCCTCTCAAGCTGATCTTTGAAACAAACTCCACCAGCCAGATCAGCACAATAAACAAAACCAAATCAATGAGCACAGAAAAGAAAACATTCTTCAGGCAAGTCTTTACAGGTGGAACACAATCCCAATTTTGTCTTCAGTTTTAAACAACTCATTACAATATTACCTGAGAAGAGGAACAAAAATCAGTGGGTCCCAGGAAACAGAGCTTGTCAAATATCTCTTTTCCACTGCAGATAAACAAGAGCAAATAGTTCTAACTGCTTTCTACTCCTTCAGCGGCATAAGGAAAATCTTAGACAAAATACCCATCCCAGCACACTTCTGCAGATAAAAGCCCAGGCAGTTGTCCCCTGAAGTGGTGGGTCCATGTGCAGCAAAATGTGAAAGTCCTGCTGCCCGCATAGCCAACCCAGAGCTGCTTAGGCCTCCCAGGGTGATCAGCCTGGCTTTGTAGCAACACAATAGGGTTAAACATTTCCTCCCATCCATTTAGAAGCCAGAAAAATGTTTAGCTGTTCAAACTCATTTGGCAAAATATAGAATAGGTCCTGTTCAGTAACATCATTTCAAGAAACTGCCATATTTTCACTTCTTTTGAGGGAGAAATGTAAGGATGCCACATAATTTCTTTTTTTTTTAAAGTAAAATAACTATTTATTCAGCCTCTTGTCATGCCAAAATGCTCTGTGCATATACCACTATAATTAGCAAACCTTTTGAAACAGGTAAAATTGTACATCAAATTGCATTTCTTATTACCTGATTATATAAAAATATAAAATGAAACAATTTATCAATTCCTTTTAACATTCCTAATAATTCAGCAGAATATCTGAGGCACAAAATCTTAGTAAAATGACACAGAAAGAGAAGTAATGTAATTCTCACTTAAAGTTAACTTACCATATTTTGTTACTATCATACAAAAAACAACAAACTTTTAAAATGTATTTACTAAGATTCTGGCAACAGCTTTATGTAACAAGATATAGCATATCAAGCCTGCACTCAATTTGTGGATAGTCTCAGCTTCAATATGAAGCTGTTAAAAAAAGAAATGAAATCCCTGCTTTTTACATGTTAAATATTGTGGCAAATATGCCATTAAACATAGTAATGAATGTAAGACAGCAAGAGTAAGGAGTTAACTAAAGCTAAACATTGCAGCCTAAACAAAATTTATACAAAAAATAAAGGTAACAATCACTGGTTATATAAAATTTTCTTGACTGGTTAAAACTTAACAGTATAAAACCTGCATTTTAGAATCTTCAACTATCCATTTCAAAAAGTACCAGTGTCTGAAACTATTCCTCTCCAAAGTCAAAGTGTAATCAAAATTCAAACAACATAACACATTCTAATGCTAAAAAACATTCAGTTATTATAGATGTGGAGGTAAATTTCCGAGCTTTGGGGGTTTTCTCATGCTGCAATGGGCTTCACATCTCTGACTCACTCAAAGCAGCACACAAAATCCAAGGATGTTACTAAGCTCAGTAAAGGACAAGACTGCTGGCACCCAGCTCTAAACTCCCCAGGAAGCATGGCTGCTGTGTCCACAAAAATAGGATGTGTGAGGATCAAAGGCACACTATTCTGCTAGCTAGATAGCAAACCACCCTCCTGCCTTAAAAGTTCCTTCCCAGGTAAATAAAAGTATACAGGTGAAAAAAAATTAAAATACACTTATCTACAAGTAAAGATTTTTGAAGCATTAATGTAATCCCTACTTCAAAAATTTTAACTATCATCATCTGGTCATTTCTGACTGCATCTTAAAGATACATCCAGATTCAATTTCTGTTTATCCATAGATATATCTAGTCAAAAGTATTAGCTTTATTCCCAAATGTCTTAACGACTATCATGACTGCAGTGTGTGTAATATCTCCGAGAGTTATCAAGCACAAAGGAGAAAGTAGATGCTCAAAAAGCAGGCAGCAATCATGACCTTCCAAACAGCAGCACCTGAGTGGCTACTGTAGAGTCCAGGAATCATTTTAGAAACAAGAAAGTTCATGTATTTTAATAAATATGTCATAATTTTCACAGTTGAAATTGTCTTAGACATTGCACTTTCTTTAAGGGAATCCAGGTTTTTCTAAATGTTACGATGAATCAGGACTTGAACTAGCAGTCTTCTTTTTCAATTCTTTGTACTGTGTTTCTTATGCTTCTTTTTCTTTTTTGTCTTTTCTGTTGCTCTTTCTCGTTCTTCACTGCTTTTCTTCTTTTTTGCTTGTAACTCCTCAGCATAATCTGATTCTGACAAGGGCCCAGATGATAAGGGTTTGTCTTCAGAATGCATCTTTCTTTTCTTGCCAAGTCCTTTAATGTCCTTACTGTCTGACTGAGTTTCTGACATAGAGCTTTCAGAAGATTTATGTGAACGGTTCTTCTTCTTTCTCCTTTTTGCTTGTTTCTTATCCTCATCTTCAGAATCTGAAGAACTGCTGGAAGAATCAGAGCTTGATGAAGAAGAAGATGAATACCTACCAGCTTTCTTCTTTTCTTTTTTCTTTCTCTGTCTTTTTTTAGATGAGCTCTCATTTCCACTTAATGGTTTCTCCCTGTGTTTTTCTAGCTCTTTCTTCCAGTTCTCATTCATTTTTTTCTTCAAATTCAGCCAAAGCCTTGGAGCCTTTTTCTTTTCGAGTTGTTCTCTTACTTCCTCCCAGGTAGGTCTTGGTCGATTTAGATAATCCTGGATTGTTGGCCCAGAAGACTGAATTGGCCCCCTTGATGTGGCCATTGCTATTGGATTCATGTAGGCCACTCGGTTGTCCCGCTTCCCCAGGATGCTGGGTCAGCCACAAGGCAAGAGAATCCCGGCAGGATAAAAAAACAAAACACGAAACCCCACAACAAAACCCAGGCCACAAGCGCAGCCGAAGCAGGCCCGCCGCGAGTTCGAGGCCCTCCGCGAGTTCTACTCGCCACATAATTTCTTTAAAAAAAAAAAAAAAAAGCTTACCCCAAGATAAGGATACAAGTAGTTTTTTCTTTCTTGCTATTGTTTCTAACATATTTATAATGTGATTGTTTTGTTGCTTTGTATGTCCCTCCCCCACGGTATAACCCCTGTTTTCACTGTATTTGACTTTGGTGTAATTTGGGGAGGGGAAGGGAAAGAACAGATCGGTTAAATAGGGATACAGGTGGACCCATTGCAACCATGAGATGTACAAGACGTTATGTCTGGAAGCACCACGTTGTGGGAGTTGCCCCAAGTCCTTAAGACATCTGTTTTTGCTAAAACTTCTAATGTTACTTTTCAAGCTTTAGAGTTCACCAGAAAAACTGGAAGAGAAACAGTTTTTTTTTTTTTTTTTTTTTTTTGTAAAAAAAAAAAGTGTCACTTTTTATTGACTTTGGTAATGTAATATACACTAATTTAAATACCTGTGCTTGACTAATCCACAGATGAGAAACAGTTTTATAAATTATCTGCCATCCAGGATTCAAGCTTAGCATATCCATTTAATGTTACATTTCAATTACTGTTACTTATTCCCTAAGAACAAAACTAAAAATAAGTCTCATATTTACTATAGTTAGTGGCTTCATTAAAATTCTTTTCCTATTTCTTAAGATGTGCTTAGAATAGTTCCATTTTAATACAAAATTCCACCAACATATCCTATAATCTCCTTGAAAGCATATTGTCAGAGAGATCAATACCACAGCCACTGTACCTGGAAAACCTAACTATGTAGAGACATAAGTGAGTATTGGGAACTCCCTTATAAGTCCTTGTTTGCTTTGAATTATGCTAATGAAAACCTGAGAACAGAAAGCAATATTCTGATTGATTCTCTTTTTACTCTTTTAAAAGATAAAATAAATAGAGGAAGAAAGGCTTTAGAGTTAATTTTCTCCTGATGTATATCTACCAGTCCGTGCATGTGTTGCAAATGGTACCAACCAATATAAAAGTAAAAATAATCAGCTTTCTCGTCCTGATAGAGCACACAGTGCTGATAACAGAAAACAGGCCAGGGAGTGTGATTTGTAGTTCTGACCCATTTGGAGGTTTTCCAATCAATCCTTTGAAGTGGATGAAAAAAAAATTAAATAAACATTTCCTTTGGAAAGCATAACTGCCCATGTTTTTCTATGAGGTTATTAACATAACCTTTCCTTTTCCTAGTTAGCTATTCCCACAGGTATGTATATTTTTTAAGGCTCACAGATCAGTTTGAAAAAAGGTTGTATTCTTTAAAATACAAGGACTGCTTTACATGGTGCTTTAAGCTTGTGACTGCGCTTCTGAACAGTAAGCGCTGAATGGAGGAGGGCTGAGTCTGATTATGCAGCTTGACTGACCGAGCCTAATCAGAATTATTTCAGCACACTGCTTCACTACAGCCACGGACCCATTAAACGCTAAATGCTTCTGCAGGCCCATTTCTGGCTCTGGCTCCCACTGTGCTTGATCCTTTGCAACAGAGGTTACTCAGTAGGCTACTCAAAACATTTTTTCTGTAAATAAAGGTACTGGGTTTAGCAGGCTCCTCAAAATCCATCACCAAAGCTGTCATTTTATGGGGATAGTGTACACTTAAAGGGATCATTTGGACTTCCAGACAGAAGGGGGCCCTTGAATGAATTCTTTATCTTGCAGTATATTTTTATTAAGAAAAGTTACAATAGCTACTGTTCCTCCCAAAAGAGCAGTTCCATATTTAAAACTGTAATTTGGGGTATCTAATTTTAAACTCATCAGGTTATTAATTCTTAGCACCCTGTTTAACACATTCTCAAGCAAGCTGCCCTGTTTTGAGGACCAGGAAAGCACCTGGGCATTAAGATGTATATCCTAAGCCAGGCACTGGTGGCTCATGCCTATAATCCTAGCTACTCATGAAGTTGAGATCTGAGGATCATGGTTCAAAGCCAGCCTGGGCAGAAAAGTCCCCGTGAGACTCTTATCTCCAATTCATCACTCGAAAACCAAAAGTGGAGCTGTGGCTCAAAAGTGGTAGAATGCTAGCCTTGAACAAAAGAGCTCAGGCACAGTACCCAGCCCTGAGTTCAAGCCCCATAACTGACCAAAAAATGTACATTCTAATTTCTGTGTCCCATATTCTATTTCTCCAATGGTCCAGTTTCTGGTATGTGATGATTTTCTACATTGCATGACTTGGTACCCATTTTAACTTACGCACATAATATTAGATATGCTTTTTTTACAGATGGACTTTTTACTGATTCCTAAAATTATGTATTTTCATATTTATTAAAATAAATGTAATTATGAAATGGTAATCGTTTTGTACAATACCTTAGTAATAATAATCAAGTTACATTTCAAATAATAAAATAAGTACAATCAGGAAATGCCATTTTAATGTACTTTCTATCCAAATTTTGTAATTCTAAATATTGTAATGTCTATGTAGGATAGTCAGTTAGTGCCTGAATTTCCTCCTCTGGAAAATGACAACAATATTATTCCCTTTTTAGAAAGTTATTGCAAGAATTAAATCACTCCAAACAGTGCCTGGCAGTTAGTAGATGCTATGCTAGTGTTTGCTTTCAATAAATCAATTGAATAAGACATCTGCTCTGAATAAAAAGATGGGTGAATTTGTCTTTCAGGCATTTTTTTCCCAGAGTGGAAGTCTCCTACCTTAATAATCTCCTACCTTCATAAGCTTTACTTTTGCCATTATTAACAAGATTGTTTATATTTGCCAAAATTACATTCCCTTTTCTTGTAGGTTTTATAATAGGTTTTCCTAGTACAGAAATGACCACTGCTTTTTAAAAAAATTTCTTAGCTGCTTGGCTGAGATTGTTTTTGCTAAGACAAAGTAGCTCATAAACTAGTTGAGGAAAGTTAACTAGCCAAGAGTTTCCTTTTTCACCCTCAAAAGATATTTTGTACTTGGAAGCTTACCAGCATCAAAAGGTGTCTCTCAAAGCTGCAGGTCCACATAGGAGACAAGTTAAGAACAATGGCATTTGGTAAAAGTGCCACAGGGGTCATCTGTTGGTGAAGGTCAGGACAGGGACCCGGGGTCCCTACAGATCATTGCTGGCACAGCAGACTGGCATCCTATTGCTTTCCATAATGTAGTGATAGGCAAAAATGCCAAGGTTCTAGAAAGTCATTGTGAAGCTAAGTTAAAGAGAACTTTCCCCCAAAAAATGTTTGATTTTTTAAGGTAAATTAGTATATTTTTAAGTATTTGTGATAAAGCAGAGACCAGGTTTCTTTCTGAGTCTGTTCACCATCAAAACTGAAATTTGCTTATTTGTGAAGATTCAGACAGTTGTCTCACATTAAATCCCAGCTTTCCTTTCCCTTTCTTTCAGTCTCCTTCTCTTTGCAATTTCTGCATACCTTGTTTAGGGCACAGAGACTTTATTCTTTATTAGCCAGTGCTTTTTAAAAAGAACTCCAGTGTTACTACATTTAAGAATGATTTTGTAAAGAAAGAGTGCCTGAAAATAAAAGTTATAAAAACACAGCATTCATTACAGAGCACTGATGGACCAGAATTCTCTGAACAGTCTATCCTAGCATTGTATATTGAGTTCCCTTACAGGGTAGTGTGCAACATGAAGTTTGAGAAAAAACATCTTTTTTTTTTGGGGGGGGGGGGGGTCCGGTCGTGGGGCCTGAACTCGGCCTGGGCGCTGTCCCTCAGCTCTTCAGCTCAAGGCTAGCGCTCTACCACTTAAGCCACAGCGCCACTTCCGGCTTTTTTCTTTTTGCTTATGTGGTGCTGAGAAATCGTACCCAGGGTCTCAGGCATGCAAGGCAAGCGCTCTACCACTGAGCCACCTTCCCAGCCGAGAAAAAAACATCTTTTATTTGCAAACACTAATGAAGCACTATTACCAACAACTAAGAGATTTCTATTGCCTGTGAACTCCTTGATCTGTTATTTCAAATCTCTTACATTCCTGCCACTACCTATAAATCTCACTTGATTTTCCATGCATATTAACCTGATATAGTGAAACAAGTTTATGGTCCTGAACTCAAATGTATCTTTCCAATTCTACCTCCATGCACTGTTTCAGATACCTTCCTTACTACTTTCCATGTGTTTAAATCTTTTCCTTCCATTAATCCCAAGGTCAAGTTCATTTATCCTTCAGATGATTTCACTGAAGCACCCAGCCATGAAAAACTGCCTCTGCCCTGAAACTTTATCACATAGCACTGCGATTCTGTGTATGAACTTGCAGATAACTTGAGAAGATATTTATTAAAGTCAGATAGAACCACCTTCACCCATTGCAGACTGATCAGTATGAACAGTTACTTCCTGGCTACATATACTTCTCCCAAGCTGTCGCTTATTCTTCTAGGCTTCCTGCCTGTCCTGTATTAGTCTGTTATTCATTTCCTCCTTTCTACCATTTCAACTGTCTTAATTTTTCTTTGTTCTCATAATTCTTCTCTCATTCTCAGTTACTCTTTCAGTTTTCTCTTCTCTTCTACTCAATTTGTTCTGTATATTCATAGAGACAAACAGCAACAGGGTTCTGGGTTCTGTTCCCACAGTGAGTAAGAGTCCTGGGTCCATACTCTGACTTTGGTCTCTTCCTAGTTTGTGACCTTAGACCTTTCCCTCTTCAAAACTCTTCATCTCTATATAAATGGTCATAACCTACTTCACAGAGTCTTAAGGAAAAATAGTATAATACATGCAATGTATTATCCACTTTATTAGTAAATACTTAGTGTTTACTTTCCATAATTACCTTATATCTTAATCTACCTATTTTATTAATCTTTATTTAGCTTATAAATCCTCTCTATTTTTTATAAAT